CCCACCTCCAAGGAGGAAATACTGGAATTCCCAGAATCCTTAGGGGAAGGCCATGTCCACACAGAAGCCTCATTGGCTATGACCCGATTGACAGAGTAGATTACACCCCTTCATTCTTAATCCTTTTAAGCCCCAAATTATGTATGTAACTACACACTCAATTTGTGAGATTTTAATAGCAAGATTATGGGAAAAGTCAGCTGTAGGGGATGAAGGCAGGGATGGGGATCATTGAAGGATTTTTAAGAACTCACCAATGATGCTTAATCCCAAAATGAGCTTATGGAACAGCCCAAATGTGGGAGATCCATCCAGAGAGATAAACCAAATCCCAAACTCACTGCCAAGTTGATTTCTAGTCATAGCAACCCTATAGAACAAGGTACAACTTGCCCCTGGTCTTAGGTTGTACCTCTTTACAATGGGTAGAAAGCCACATCTTTTCCTACAGAGCCGTTGGTGGTTTCAAACGTCTAACCTTGAGGTTAGCAGCTTAGTGCATAACCCCCTATGCTACCAGGTCTCCTTGCCAGGAGAAAACCAAAAACTCAACTGCCATCGATTTGATGCCAACTCCGTGGGACAGGGTATAATACCCTGCCAGTTTCTGAGACTAACTTTTTTATTGGCATCTAATCTACATATCACAATTCAATAGTTCAATTGTTCAATCATATCAAGAATTATACAATCATCACAACAATCAATTTTATTTTTTTCACAATCAATTTTAGAGCATTTTCTTCTCCCTTGTACTCATTTAGTTGTGTAATTATTATTTTTTAATTGCAGCAAAAATATACACAAGACATTCTCCAATTCAACAACTTCTATATAATTCAGTGCCATTGATTATACTTTTTGTGTTGTACTACCATTATTGATGTCCTTTTCCAAATCATTCCACCACCATTATCGTGAACTCCATGCCCCCTAAGCAACAACTCTTTCTCCTTCACCCATGGTAACCACGGGCAAGTTTGTTGTTGTTGTTGTTTAGTAGTTTTCTTGATATAATGTTCACATATCATACATTTCCATAGTTAAATCGCTTTTAAAATGAGTTGTATATACATCATCACAATCAGTTCTAATGCTCCCTCCCACTCCTGCATTCATTGTCTGCTCCCCAAGTCCCCTCACGGTCCCCCGCATCCCTGATGAACTGTGGCATCAGTTACTGTCTCCATACATCCGCTCTTGTGCTTCACAAACTGGGAAGCCCAACAGAGACAATGGAAAATGAAAACAAGCAGAGAGAAGAAACTAATAATACAAAGATACAAATAAGGAGTAAAAAGAGACCACCAACAATATTTTAAAAGCCAGCAAAGAAATTCCTGGCTTGGGAGAGCCAAGAGCCTGGAGCAAATTCAGATTGGGTCGAGGAGGGAGTTCAACTGACCAAGTATCATATTATACCACGGTTCGATCCACCATAATCAAATTTCCAGTAATCTGTGTGATAGTACAGCTGTTTGAGTCCCTCACCTGTGGCTAGAGAGGAGCTGGCAGAGGCTTTACCTGACTAGCGAGTCTGCAGATGGATTTGGGGCTCCCACTGTCCTCCAGAGCCCTCTGCACATTGGATGTTTCCAATTTAAGCTCTGATACTTTTCCTTCATCAGAATTAGATTTTGTTATCATCGTCTTTGGATCAGACAGGCTGGTGTGCATCTTCAGCGTGGACTCATTTCATTGTGGCCACCTCAATTAGATGGCTGCTTGTTTGAATACAAGCCTTTAGGATCCCAGACACTATTCCTATTGATAACCGAGCACCACCTGCCTTCTTCACCACACTTTACTGTAGCTCCCTCATCTTCTGTGATCTCTTTGTGAAGGCCAGTGTCAAGCAGGGCCATGTGATAAGAGCTAACTGTTCTTGGATTGGGGTGAGAGTTAGGTGGGAGCCCAGAATCCACCTGCTGGTCCATAGGTTATAAACAACTCTGGTTTACTTTGGCTGTCATATTATTGTCAAAAACAAAACAAAAACACAAATAAAAGGCATAAAACAACACAAAAAAGATTGTCAATCATCCCTTTGGAGGTATAAGGCAGTTGCATTGATAACATCAATAATATATCCAACAACATAGAATTTAAGATACGGTTTCTATGAGGAGTGTATGCAAGTTTAGTCCAACTGAGAGCTCCAATCCATGAGTTGTTGCTTTGTACAGATGGATTTCTTAATTGATTGAGTTCTATTTATGCCGAGCTTCGGGCTTGGTACTAGGGAAAACCTTCCTGAATCGTTTTTTTACAAGTGCAGTTCCTGCCCGTCACATTAAAACCTGTCATATCAATGCTGCAAGGGGAGCGTGGAGCTACTAAATATGTGGTAGTTCTGGGTCTCCTTTCCTTGGACAGGGATTCCACCAAAGGTCCAATGACCGTTGTTTCCACAGTCTTGGGGTGGTCATCCTTTGCTCCCTCTCCCATCAGATTATTTCAGTCCAAGGGTTCAAGTAGTTTTGTTGTTTTTAACATGGAACGCTTCACGAATTTGGGTGTCATTATTGTGCAGGGCCCAAAATAATCTTCTCTGTATCTTTACAATTTTAGTATATGTGCTGCCGAAGTGGACATGGTCAAGGTAGTTTTGAGTAGGGCCCAGTTTGTTCAGCCAGGCTTCCGTGTTGAATCCTGGTGTGGCCATTGGAGGGGGCTATGTTGCCACTCAGGCCAGTGCTTAGGATCATCACAGTGTTTAGTCCATGGCCTGGTTCACCGAGGGTTGGGTCGAAACATCTGTAGTGTCTCTCCAGAAACATAGAATTGGATTTATTCTCCTCTTCGGTTTCCTACAATTATTATTTACCATCTCTTCCCAATGTGAGGTTGCTTTTCCCCATTTCCCCACCATCCCACCACCAGACCATCAAAAATGTGGTCTTAGGTGACTGACCCCTGTGAAAGGGTTGTTTGACCCCCAGAGGGTTGAGAACCTCTGTGTTAAATGCTGTTGAGTCAGTTGTAACTCAGTTACTTTACATACAACAAATTGAAGTGCTGCTGGTCCTGTTTGCTCTCATGCAGATTTTAATCTCAAAAGCCCCATGGAACAGTTCTACTGTGTTCTCCACTGAGCTGGAATCTGCTGACGGCTGTGGGCTTGGCTTTACAGTGATTGAGAGCATGGGCTCCGAGGTCAACCCCATTTGAGTCCACCTTCTTGCAAACTCGGACATAAGCCTACTGATGTAACCTTTGGCAGCCTGTGGTAATAGTAAAACCTATACCTTTAGAGTTTTGAGGATTAAAAGAGGTATTGCACATGGTTGGATATTGTAAATACTGGATAAGTGTTATCTATTATCACACACACACACACACACACACACACACACACACACCATAATCCTAAAAACCTTCCCTTGGCCAAAAAAGAAAAAGCTACAATAGAAATATAAATATCAGACTAATGATTTGGGTAAATGACAATTAGGTTTTAGATCCGGTTCTCCAAAACACTACAATTAGGGAGATGTGGATTAAAATAAAAGGTGTTAAATCTAACGATTTAATTCTGTAGAGACTAGCTATGGATTCTTTGCTCAATACTTCTCTTTATATGAATCAAAAGGTTTACAGAGTTTGAGAAATAAGCCTGTACTCCTAGGCAAGAGAATGGGAGTAGTTGAGTTTAGGGCTAATTAAGGGGAGGTTTCCCTTGTTTTGTTATATTTTCTCTTTGTGTGTATGTGATTTGGGTGAACGTTTACTGAGCAGATTGGTTTTCAATTCAGTAGTCCAGTCAGGTTGGTTGCAATCCCTGCAGTGTAGCACTTTCCCCACTTCCTGCCTGTAGTTGCCATTTCTCTTGTCCGTTTTATTGAGCTATAATTAACACCCCATACAATTCAGTAGTCCAGTCAGGTTGGTTGCAATCCCTGCAGTGTAGCACTTTCCCCACTTCCTTCCTGTAGTTGCCATTTCTCTTGTCTGTTTTATTGAGCTATAATTAACACCCCATACAATTCAGTAGTTCATGTTAAGAAGGGTTGTGCAATCATCACACCCCACTTTCCCGCATCACATGTTATGTGCCTTATCTCTTTGTGACAGGACACTTGAGATAGTTTAGCAAAAGAGACATGGAGGAGCCGTAGAACAGTGAGAATGAATTCAGGAAGACCCGAGACCATGGAGAACTTGCCTGCTCTCTACACGATTTTCCAAGGCGAGGTATGTTCTCTTGTGTTTTGTATCTATCTATGTTCAACACTGATGAAGGGTGAAAAACGGCTGGGCTTGGAGCTTCTGACCCTGTGATAATATGTGGAACATTACAGGTTAGAAAGGGCTAGTGCAGGCAGGGCTGGCTGTCATGTAGACCTCCCCTAGACGCTGACCTTGAACTGGTACTTGACATCTTCGTTTTACTACTACTGCATAGCATTGTAAGTTTAGGTTTTAGATCGAATTCTTGATTTTTCTCAGGAAACACGTTCCTCCTCTAGACTTTTTCTCTTTCAGCAACTGAAATTATTATTTCAATGCCCAAGGTAGAGATGTAGAAATCTTCCTGTATGATAGGAGGAATCCTCTTGTTTTCACCTCTTAATTTTTCTTTCCTCTTTCGTCTGTCAGCACGCCCCACCACTTTTATTTTCTAAATATATCTTGGGTCTGTACATGAGTGGAAATACAAAGGACTGCTACCGAGTCATGTTGCTCGGGGCCGATGCACTAGCTCTGACCCCTAGGGACCCTATGGGCGGACAGCAGCATGAACCACTTTTAGGATGCTGGGGATCATGGAAGGAGTAGCCGTCGTTGCCTCAGATGGAACGAAGCCCTGAGACCCTTTAAGGTCAGTTCCAGTGCTCTGACCAATCAGAAGCATACCCTGAACTGGCACCAAGGGTGGACCTGGTTACCAATGTACTCCTGAACTCGTTTGCCATGGGGTCTGTTCCCTACCCTCACTTTAGAGAGAACAGACCCTCTGGGCTTCCCTAAGCCCGCCGTCGCTTTGTCTCTAGTAAATGTTTGCAAGCTGATTTACATAGTAGAGTGTGTTCTCTTGCGGCATGGCTCCTGTGAGCCTGCTCTCTACTTTCCAGTCTGTGAGGCCGGGGGTCCTCGGGACCAGGACCTACTGTACAGGTGAGGTGAGTCCAATATTTGGGACTCCTCCAGAAGATCTTCTGTCAGGTGAGTGACAGGTCTTTCTCCGTGTTCTTGTACTTGGCAGAATGAGTTTATTGCAGTGATCTGAAGATTGAGGAAACTCCGTTTAGCTGTTCTGGGCTCCCTATTGTGCAGTGAGTTTCTGGGGCTTGCAAATACAGCACAGCCTGGTTTCTGAGAAGAATCAGTGCCTTTTGTGTAGTAAGAATTATCCTCTAGCTGGGAACAGATACTCTGAGAAAAGGCAAGATGAGTCTCCCCAGAGGGCCTTCACAGCCTGCAGCCGTAATTAAACAGTTTCTTGAGGTGGGAGTGCTCATAGAAGGGGTGTCTCCTCCTAACACCCCCAGTTTTGGCAATAAATGGTAAACGGCGCCTAGTCCAAGATCTGCGGGCCACCAATGGAATAGTTCTCTATTTACCTAAGGTGACCAGACGTCTCGCTTTTGGTGGGACAGTCCCTCCCGATTTTTAACAACTTTTCCCACGTCCCGCGGCATTTTTAAAAAGTCCTGATTTTTGGAAATAATGCACAACAAGCTAGGGTATATGGTTTTCGGCTGCCATGTGGCTGTTTCGCCAGGATACGAGTTTTATCAATGGTGTCCCGCTTTACCCATGTTAAAATCTGGTCCCTTATCTTTACCTCCAGTAGTCCCGAACCCCAATACTCTGACGCCTTGAGTGCCAGCTGCAGGGTGTTAGTTTCCCGACTTAGTCACGTTCACCAGGCTCTCGAGTCTGGGGACGGGAACTTTCTCCTGCCCCTTCTGGGGAGAGTCAAGTGGTGATTGGACCAGAAGAATGAGGCCTGGTCAAAGACTGGGCAAAGAGGGAACGAGTCAGCAATTTGGCCTGGGTAGGACCTGGGTGTGTGCTCCTCTCCCCACTACAACTTTTAAATTAATAGAAGACAAGTCTTGGACCTACTTTTCTCAAGTTTAGAGGACTGGTACTCCTTCCCCCGACTCAGTCTAACTGGGAGTGCGAGCCCATTCAGAAGAAGCCTGCACTCGTCAACTCTGGCCAAGACATTCAACGAGTCCATCTTGGGTTCCTAAATTAGGGCTGATAGTTATATTATGCTAGTTTCTTTTGTTTGCTTTCTTGTTTACATGTGCTTTATCTATAGGTAAGGGAGTTTATTTGGTTGTTATTCTTGCAATTTCACGATTACAATGAAGAAACATTTCCGTGTGTCCTCGAGTTCCTGGGTGAGTAACACACGGCCCCTGATTTTGTGCTGCTTGTGCCTTTGGGAGTGTGTGGCTCCAGCGGTCACACCCAATTTCTGGTGGGTCTCACTGGTGCAGGGAGCCAATTTCACAGAGTGCATCAGTCCACACTTATGTTTTTAGACTTCTCCTTAATCTCACCAGTCTCCCTCTGCCAGAGAAGGGAGATCTAGTGGCTCTGCTGGTCTCACGCCCACCTGCCTCCCTCACAGATGCTGAAGATTTATAGTAAGACCACCAGGCATAGTGGGCCTCAGAGGACCTATAAGCATCCAAAATGGAATGAGTCCTCTTAAAACTGCTTCTCGGAATTAGTTTTTACTTACCAAGTATTCATGGTACCCGGAGGAAGCTGTACGCATGGATCCCTATTGGTCAATGCAACCATCTGGGAGGTCACTGTGAACGATTATACCCAGTGTATGCAACCCTTTTCTCATTCCTCAGGCATATTTCCGGAATTACAACCTTTCAGATTGCTAGTATGGTCCAAAGATCGGGCACCTATAATGCATGGAGGATTTCCTACCTACTCCCAGACACCCGGTGTACACGCTTGGAAACAGGATGCATGGATTAAACTTTGTTACCCTCTGGGACCTTAACTTGTAATTGTTATGCCACCCACGCTTTTGCCTGTCAGTGCTTTAATGGCACCCGAGGCATTCAGCCATGCTCTGAGCAACAGGCATGGGTGGTGGACCCCCATATTCAGTACATGTGGGCAGATCCCATTAATGGAACCTTCCTGAATAACTCCTTACGTAAGTACACAGATGGGCTGCTTCCTCCTGGACCGCTGGCACCAGCTCTGACATTCCACACTGCCACTCCACCTTTTTGCAAGAATGGATTGATAACAGCTTCTCAGTAGTGGTGTGTGCTTCCCCCGGACTACGGTTCACCTGCCAAGATAATAAGGAGAGATCTTGGGTTTTAAATTGCCTAGATTGTTCTGCAGCTCAGGTGGATGCACCATCGGATGGGTCATAGCCCCTGAAGGAACAATACGTATCTTTAAGGATCTTAAACAGTCGGCACATGCTCCAAGAAAGAAGCGAGGGGCCCCCTTTGTAGCATTGGAGATAAGATCTTTAGTCTTAGTAGGGGACTAGCCTGAGAAGTAGTCTACAAGCTCACACTATCCAGAATGCCTCCGCACTAATAAAAAGGAACGCAGAACATGCAGGCCAAGGTTTAAAAGCCTTGCACACTTCCCTTGAATTCCTGGCCAGCCAAGTAATGGGCCTCCAAGTAACCCTAGATTTCTTCTGGCAGGACAGGCCAGTGCAGAGTATGTGCATTACCAAACGCATCCTGTTGCTTCCATGTTAATACCTCAGGAGAAGTGGAAATAAGAGTCCATGAGCTTCTCTAGCAGGCTAAATGGCTCCAGGATATAAGGAGAAAACTGGCTGGAGACATTTGGACCACCATTAAGTTATCTCGCTTCCATTACTTGTTTTTTACTTCTCTTAGGCCTGGTGGTGGTACTATTATTATTATTGACTTGGGGGCCTGGTGTTTTTTAAAACCTTTGGTAAGGTTTGTTTGTATCTTCTAGGTTGCCAAAGTTTCATTTCCAGATGATGGTCAGGCAAGGCTATCAACCATCCACTTGGACTCATTCAACCAATCAGCCTGCTCCTTCCACTGAGGGATTTAGGAGAGGGGCCACCTTAGACAGGCAGTGTAGCCTTGCTCCCAGTCAGCAGGAAGTAGCCAGAATGAGTTGATGCCCCTCCTCCTAAAGATTGAGGGTTATGTCCCTGGGGTGGGGAGTGACGGGTTGTCAAGATGTTAGGGATCATGGACAGGACTAATAGCGTTCATGACCTCAAATGGAATGGCACCCCGTGACCTTATAAGGAAAGTTCTAACACTCTGGCTAATCAGAAGGAGCCAACTGTACCTTGGCCTATGAGCCAGAACCCGAGCCCTCCCCTTGACACCAAGGGGAGGTGTCAGTGTTTGGAGTTGACATTCTCTGCCCCTTTTTAGAGAGAACAGACGCTCCTGGGCTTCCCCAAGTGTGCTGGCACTTTTATCTCTAGAAAATGTGTGCAAGTTGATCTATGTGGTTGAGTGTGTTCTCTGCGGCTTCGCTCCCCGGAGCCTGCTCTTAACTCTCTAGTGTGTGGAAGCTGAAGGTCCTCGGGCCAGGTCCTACCGTACAGGTGAGGTGAGACCCACGGCCAGCACCAGCACCCAGTGCTGTACCGTTCTCACAGGCGTGAGCCCATGTCGCAGCCGCTGTGTCAGTTCATCTGGCTCAGCGTCCTCCTCGTTGACTGGCCCTCTAGTTACCAAGCAGGAAGTTTTGCCCCAGGGGTTACGCTCTCCTGAGAGCATGTCCGACATCCTGGCTGCACTTCCTCTGAGTTTGGTTTGTGCATCTCTGAGTCATGGTCCTTCAATGTTACTCTCCAGCACCCTAATTCAGAGACATCACATCTTCTCCAGTGCTTCTTAGTCATTTGGCCAAGCTTTCAGAGGTACATAAGGTAATTGAAAATACCTTAGGTTAGATGCACCTCAGTCCTCAAAATGACATCCTTGCTGTTCAGCATTTTAAAGAGGTTTCATACAGCAGATCTGCCCAATGCAATATGTCATTTGAGGTTTTTAATGGCTGCTTCCATGATCATTGATTGTGGATCCAAGGAAAATGAAATCCCTGACAACTTCAATCTTTTTCTTGTTCAGTGCCCTGAGTGATCCTGCTAGTATCTGAGATACCTGTGGCAAAGCCTCTAACACCCCAGCATCTATGTCTGTGTTCATATATGTTGCCTGCCATTATTGGTACTCTTATCTAAAGAATTCCTTTTAGTTTGTCTTGTAAGAGTGGTCTGGCAAATGTGTGCATAAACAAACATGGTGAAGAAAGCTGATGGTGCCTGGTTATCAAAAGATATAGCATCTGGGGTCTTAGAGGCTTGAAGGTAAA